CAGGGACGAGGCCCTGTAAGCGGCGGTTCCGCCGCGCTCTGCAGCGCCCGCTGCCCGGGAAAAGGCATGGTCGGAACCGAAAGGGGCCTCTGAGAGCCCCCGCAGGGCCGGAGCAGCTCCCCCAGCCCGCGCGGTGAGTGTGTGCCCTGCGGTAGCTACTCCCGCCCAGCCGTTAGGAGGGTTCCGCGCTCAGGTAAAGCTGCCTCGCCGAGCGTGTGGGAGCGTAAGCGGCTTATGGAATCTGGGCACCGAAGAAGGATGTTCAAAGTACATTTTAAAATGCAGCTCTGGGTGCACTTACGATAACACCAGGTCGTTCAGTTTTACAAGCGGACACTCAAAGCGTTCCTCCTGGTTTACTGCAGAGCTGGAAATAGCTGCTTGATCAGGAAAAGTAAGTCGTATGAGCTAAAAATGGCATATAAGCTGCTGGTTAACTAAGCACTTAATAAAGCTTTAGATTTTTTTCCATCAAGTGGTCTAGATTAGTTTAAATTGTATTGCTCTTTGCGTCATGTGAAAGTTCTTCACTTGGTACTGGGCATTAAAAAAAAGGTACACCTTTTCATCTGTTTTTAAGTTAAAAGATTTATAAGATTTATGCTGTGATGTCTGCTATATCTATAATAGCTGTAGGAAGAAGAATTATGTTCTAAGTCTAGCTTTTTGAAAGATAGTATATTTTTTTTCTATCTTGGAGCCACTTTCTAACATTAAATGATTTAGAAATTATTGCCGATGTGTCTGTTTTAGGTTTTAGCTTAGCAGGGTGAAAACCCATGTGAACATCAGCAAAAATTACAGGTATTCGCGTCAACCTAAAATTGTTCAGTAGCATGACTGACTGCAATCTGAATAGAGCAGTAAAAGGACGAGACTATCATCATAAATTTTGAAATTTGTTTAAGGGCTAAGTAAAAAACTTGATCTCCTGCAACCACTAGAAATTCTTTACAAGTACTGTATATGCAACAGAAAGATAATCTGACTTTGGAAAGGTTTTGAGGCCAGTTTAAAAGTGCCAAATGCTTATCTAGTGGTGTAAAGTTCACCTCATAATTTATCAGACACAGTCTTTTGATGACCTAATTCTGCTAATGATGCAGCTCTTTCTTTCCTATCTTTTTGGTATATTCTGATTATGAAACTTATCACAATATGATTCCTTGTGTTCCTTAGAGCCTTAAACTTCCTGTTGCTGCTTTTTTCTTATTTAAAGCTTGTCCAAATAATTATTTTTAAATGCCTTTTTTGTCAGTGTGAAGTTAACAAATGTATATAGAAATATTTTTTATAATGATTTAAAGTATTATCAGAAGAGATAACAAAAATACAAACAAAATGCTGTCCTTAATTTGTCTTATCAAAAATTACCTCCAGAAACCTCCAGATTTCAACATTTAAGAGAAATTTTATTTGTGTCTACCTGACATATGCTGTTTACATGGAACAGGTTTGATACTCCTATTTCTTGAAATTTAAAGTTTGATATGTCCATGTTGTCATTGTTTTCTTTGCTGATTTCTGTTGCTGCTTTGGTTAACAATTTGGAATAATGATGAGGAACACAAGCCCACACGCTTGGTTCTCTTGGCCCTTGAAAATGATCTCTTACTGTCTGGTTAGTGTAATGTCAGTGCTGTATATTCAGGCAGATTTGTTTCTGTGTTTATACGAAGAGTTACACTCACCAAACATGCAATATATATTTGAGCTTCATCCACATCATGTGCATTTGTATGTGTGTATACACACATACTTTTTCTTTAGTATTTCTTGGACATAATTGAGTGAACAATCATTGTTATTCAGTCATTCAGATCATCTGATACCTGGTGTAAACAAACACAGACAGCCTTGAAAATTTGCATCTGCATGTTTGCAAGTATAATTATTTGTTTGCAATGTTGCTCACATCTCTAAGGACAAAAATTGGTTAAGCCTCACAAGATGTTTAGAGATACTTTTTTACTGTCCTTAGGTAATTAACAAGCACATATACAGTGCCTGGCAAAATGGGAATTTGATTCAGTTGAATTCTGTAGTTCAGTCATAGCAGCCTTTTCTAAAATGTTGTATTTGTTCAGTAATATTCCCTGCCTACTTTCTCATCCCTTAGGAAATTCTTGTCTTCATTCCTACTAGTGTACTCGGCAGTTAATGCCTACCCATAACACCTGTTTCTTATCTTGGTTCCATACAGCTTATCCCTATATAGTCTGTCTTCTCCAGGGTAGCAACAGCAGAAGAAGTGGCAGCTGGAGCTGGGAGTGACAGGAGACTTCATGGGCTTACGTTTTTAGTCCCAAATGCCAACTGTGACACACCTCTCACTGATGCTTTAATATTATTGCTGCAGTTGGTGTTACTGGCAATGATACTTCTCTTGGATGAAGATTAA